AAGGATCCTGCCTTGGAATGACTCATCCAGTTTGGAAAACGTTGTACTTGATCAACCAATCATGTCCGCTTCCCTGAATTTCAATATTTATATGTTTGCTGGCAGTATGCGCGGATGGGGTTGTGAGAGTATTCAGGATCGATGATGCATCAAGCAAGAGCTTTAAGTAAGTCATTTCATTCTATGCGAGTTATCCCTCATTATACAACATATTCTAACACCACGAGGGTTTTGCAGGATTCTCAAGATAAACTTGCCTGCTGGGGCACATCCCACTGCCATCGCTTACTCAGAAGGGTCATCATCCGTTGTTGTGGCAGCACAGGCGCTGTTAGGCTCGTCGCTCTACATGTATGCTGATGTTGGTGCTCCTCCAACTGGGGGAAACAAACAGCAGGGCAAGCTTTCTCCTCCTGAGATCAAGTGGGACCACAAAAAGATTCACGGCAAGGAATCGGTGCTGAACCTTGCGGCAGCTCGTGCGACTCATGGGACTGGTGATGGGAGCACAATAGTGATTTCGTGCTCTGAAGGTATGATGAGCTGTATACTTTCTTAGGATTGTTTCAGTTTCAAGTAGTTACTCATGAATCAGGATTGCTTACTGCAGTAGCCTTTAAATCAAGATGCAATGACCTGCGAACATGCATAATTACTGTGTCAATTTAGATATTAATTTTTGTTTCACCATTCATTATTGGCCATGAATCGTAATGCCGTATATGCAGCTAGAGCTTTTTTCACGTATGCTGGAAGCAGTACTGTACAGTGTAGAATGTTTACTAAACTAGTGGCTTTAATGATATTTTCTAAACTAGTAAGCTTTAATGAGTAACGCTGCATCATGTTTCACTTGTATATATGGGAGTACAAAAAAGCTAGACATTTTTTTTGTGAAAAACAAGAGTGCTAGACTTATGGGAGGAGGGTAAACAAAAATCCATAGGCCTCCTCCCGTAAGTCTGCCATTGCTCTTAGGAGTAATATACACTCTTCACAATTAAGTGTTGATTAACGGGTGCATGGTGACCTGACCCGTCTCTAAATAGCCTGGATCTCTCAGGTGCATGCATATATGGGATTGAGGGTAGCTAGGTTGCAAGGATTTTTTTTCTTGGGGCAGGTATGATGTTTTGAGTGGTAGAATAAACGCCAGTTTATAAAACTGGATCAGTGAGGGAACTGGTCAACCATCTGCCTCACCATTCAGTTGTCCGGATCAACCTGACCAACCGCTCTACAAAATTAATTGGGCAGCAATTTTTTGTCATTTTGTATTCATATTCTTTGAAAAGACCTAATATGTTATTACTTGCTTGCAATACCATTAGAATGAATTGATAGTCCAACTGGTGCTATGCTTTCTGCGTGCACGTGATGCTCTGGGTTGAGGTTCTCTGTTTGGCACAGCGCTGAATATTTCTAGGATTCTCCCTTGTTTCCTCCCCAAACTGTTCATTATACAAACCGGAGCAGACCAGGCGCTGGTTTGGCTCTTCCTATTTTAGTTGTCGGTACGGTCTGGTCTTAACAACTACTACTTTCGACTCAAAATAATGGGTGTCACCATTTTTCATTTTTTTCCATGAAGGAAGGACGCTACCTCCAAATTTCACGGTAACTGCCTAAATTATCCACGGTGTCTGTCTTACCAATCTGTTAGTTGCCAAATTAAAGACACACATTTTTGCTATTGGGTAGCGTGGGAAACCAGGAGGCCCACCATGCTTCGATTGAGGAACTGTGCAGTTATGGCATGCGACTGTTCTCTGCTTTCCTTTCTTGATCCATGAGCCTGAAGTTGTGCGTCTATTATTTGTGAAGCAACATGCTTTTTTTTATGCCACACATGTGCATTAGGAATATGCAGACATATCACAAATTTACAAGATGTAATCGTGTGACATTGTGGACTTATTTCCATGTTACGAGTTCTGTTTTGTTTTAACATTTGTTTTTGAAAACTGTTTGCAGCAACTGATATCAAAATATGGCACGGAAAGAGTGGCAAAGAGTTGGGAACAGTTGACACTAATCAGTTAAAAAACAATATGGCTGACATATCCCCAAATGGCCGCTTCATTGCTGCTGCAGCTTTCACTGCTGATGTCAAGGTTGGTAGTGTTCATTGTAATAAAACTCACTATTTTGCTCATTAACCGTCTCCCAGTTATGATAATATTCACATGTTCTTTAGGTGTGGGAGATTGTTTATTCAAAGGATAGTTCAGTGAAGGAGGTTAACAGGGTCATGCAGCTCAAGGGTCACAAGGTCAAATTCCTCCCTGCTTACATTTTATTGTGCAAGTTTCAAACTATTCCTGTGAGCAGAGACTGACAAGTTTTGAATTCAGAGTGCTGTTACTAGTTTGTGTTTCACTCCGGACTCTGAGAAGATTATTACTGCGTCGAAAGATGGTACCATCCGAGTATGGAATATCAATGGTATGTTCTATATTTACCAACAGTTGTGCTTGTTGATTTTTAATATGTTAACCCTGTTTACCGGAAGTTGCCCTAAAGTCATGTCAGCTTCTTTTGTACTTATATCCAATACCTTCTCATCCTTTTTGGGATTGCTTGATCTGCATCAAGAGGATAATGCATGAGAACCTTTTTATGTTTGCCTTTCTTCACCAAGGTTGATAAGCCCTTCATTACAGAAAATGTTAATCAATCAGTTTAGGCTATTGATATGTAGTGGACATGGCCAAAGCTGTCACATTTGCATGATTATATAATCTCTTTTGACGTCATGGCACTTGTCAAAAGCAACCCTGTTGTTTGTCAGATATTGCAATGTACAAGTCTTTGTCAAGGGGGGTTAATGGTTTCTGTTACTTCCTGCAGTAAGGTATCACCTTGATGAGGATCCCAAAACCTTGAGAGTTTTGGCAGTCCCTCTGCATGATTCAAAAGGCTCTACTTGCCTGTATGAACACATGGGCATCTCCCCAGATGGTAAAGTTCTGGCTGTAACTAGCGGATCGACGTTGCAATGGTTATGTGCAGAAACTGGCGCGGTTTTGGATACAGCTGAGAAGGCTCATGAAGGTGTGTAATAATATTCCTAGTTTCCAGGTTGAAAGTCTCTTTAGGTTCTCCTTGTCTAAAAGAAAAAGTGCATGGGCTGACGTGTTTTATGCACATACTCAGGTGCTATTTCTGGCATTGCGTGGGCTCCACGGACAATTCCCAATGGTAACATCTCTGTTGTTTGCTAGATGGTGCACTAGAGCTGTTAGGAACCTGCTTAGGTTAGTAGTGCAAAGTAACACAATGGAATTTGTGGACTGGATCTACTTAGTGTGTCAGCCCTTGGCGCACCACAATACTAGTGATATATGATAGCTGATGCACTAGTTGATGTGTTTGTCGTGCTCACTCATCCTTGTGTAAATTATTTGATCTAGTTTGATGCTGGAAATATTATGTGTTTAGTTAAAGGTGTGTAGATCACATTGTTTGTTTGATTGTCTCAGGTGGTGGTGCTCCTGCGTACATTCTGGCGACTTGCGGGGACGACAAAAAGGTGAAACTGTGGTTAGCTCCGGAGGTGAGCTCGACATGAGCGTCTTGTACTAGATAGCTTCCCTGAGGAAACAAAAAGAAACAAGGGAAGATTAAAAAAAAACTCGGCGTTTGCAGTTGGGTTCATTTGAGCTCAGCCCAGAGTCGATAGCGTGTTGTGTGAACGTACATTGTACTATAGTTTCTCTGTGAATCTGTTGTTTTCTGGAGGTAACTAAAAGTGTTTTTGCGGCGGTTGGTTCTTTCAACTATAACTATGGACATACATAGTAGTCGGCGCGACTATATGTGCTATATACATTGAACTATATGAACTATAACTATGAAATTATCGTCTGCTTTGGGCCTGTACCTTTGATGAACCCTACATACATTGTATCAAATCTTCTTCTTCGTGTTTGTCGCGCGCTACTGTTGAAAATCACGAAAATTGCTTTTTTTTTTATTTTTTTTGACGGGCAAACAGTACCTACGAACCCACCCAAACCACTGTGCTCTTCCAAGTTGAGTCACTCACCTCCGTCCTCTCTTCCCCAACCCCGGCTTCCACCCCGCCGCCGCCGCCCGCGGATCCACCCGAGCGGTCAGATCCGCCCTCACTCCCTCCCTCCCTCCCTCCCTCCCTCCTCGCGCTGGAAACCCTAGACCGCCCGGCCATGGCGACCCAGGCTTCACTTCCACGAGAGATCTGCTGCTCCCTCCTCCTCCTCCTCCTCCTCCAACGGTGGTCTTCTTCTTCTTCTTCCCTCTCTCTGACCCCTGTCGCGTCTGTCTGTGTAGGTAGCTTGAGGGCAGCGGCCAGTGACCGGGGCACCCAAAGAAAGGAAACCTTCTCCGCCGCTACAGAGGAGGAGAGGCTCGAAGGTATCCTTCCCCTCCCACTCCATCTCTCCGATTTGAACATGAGCATCATCAGCCAACCAACATTCTGGCCGGCTTTTCTTCTCCTGGATCCCCATCTGATGTGCGGTTTGGGATTCTTCCTTGCCTTCTTCACCACCATCTCCTCCTCCCCAAGAACAGGGCCTTCACCCCCCTCCCTTCTTCTTCTGCTTTTCTTCATCTATGCATCTGCATCTGCAAAGTCCTTTTTTTTCCTGGTTCAGTATGTATGTGTGTATGGATGTGCTACTTGCCACCGGAAGGAATAAAATATCTGATGAATGCTTTTTTGCTGTGTCTGATCAACTCTTGTGTGTCCAGGATTCGTGAGGTGACAACCGTTTGCCCAGCCCACAAGTTGTGCTGTTTCCAAAAATCCCCACCCCACCCAAAACGGAAGCACGAGTAAACAAGGAGGCTTGTGGCCTTGTGGGTCGCCTCTCCTTCATCGGCGACGCCGCCGACCACTCGTACCCGACCTACACCAAGGTAAGCTCGCTCGTTCCTTCTCTCCCCACTCCCTCCTACCCACCCTCCCCCTTTTTCTTTTCCATCTCATGGATGGCTGGATCTAATCTCCAATGCAGATGATTACGGATGCGCTCACCGAGCCGGGAGGCACCTCCGGCTGGGCCGCCATCGCCGGAGGAGGTGTTTCGTCGGGGATCAAGAGAAAGAAGAAGCTTGGGAGGCCATTCAAGAAGAGGCCGCCGAGAAACCCGCTTGGGGGGCTGAGGAAGGTCAAACAGACAGATTCTGAAGCAACTCCAGCCACGCCGTCACCGTCAACTCCAGCCGCGCCGTCACCGTCAACAACCGGTATGAAGATACCGTGTGGGAGGCCGAGAAAGGACCAGCAACCATCACAAGCAGCAAGCTCTCCTGATCCGACTCCAGCACGGAGGATCGAGACAGCGGAAACTCAAACTGGGCATAGGAGCCCAATGCTAACAGAGAATCCACCACCAGCAACAATGTCTGGTGATGATGCGTCGATGAGAACCAAGAGACTGCTCGCGAGGCAAGCAAGGGAGGCACCGCCAGCGGCAACGCCCGCTCCTAAAACTGGAATCAAGAGAGGGCGCGGGAGGCCAAGAAAGGACAAGCCAGCAGCACCAATGTCTGCTCAAGCTGGAGGTGCCACGTCAACGGGAATCAAGAGCAGGGGCGGGAGGCCAAGAAAAAAAAAGTCAGCAGCAGCAATGTCTGCTGAAGCTGGAGGTGATGCGTCAACGGGAATCAAGAGCAGGCGCGGGAGGCCAAGAAAAGACAAGTCAGCAGCAGCAATGTCTGCTGAAGCTGGAGGTGATGCGTCAACGGGAATCAAGAGAAGGCGTGGGAGGCCAAGAAAAAATGAGTCAGCAGCAACTTATCCATATCAGGTCTTATACTTACTAGTTCTTTGGAGTGACGTCATTCTGATTTTATAAGCTTATCCATGTCAGAACTATCAACTTAACTTTTTTTACTGAAACTTCCAACATAATTTGCAGTCAACTTGTCTTGTTACAACACATTGAAGCTTTGGTTCAAGTTTCATGTCATGTTTTATGGATGGTATATTTTTCATATAAGTTTTCTTTGTGATATAGCGAAAAGGAAAGGAGAGGCTCATCTAGGTTGTGTCGTTTTTGCTCTTTCCACGTAGTAATGTGAACATAGTTACTCTTGCTCATCACGGGCTGTACAGTACACTAGGCGTAGAAAACTGTATGTAGCATGTTGCCTTTCATACTCTGTCATGTTTTTCCGGTTTGTCGATTACTCATTTAAGTTATTTGTAATACAGCGAAAGGAAAAGAAATGTTTAGTAGGCTCGTCTATGAGCGTCTGTGACACTGTGTACCCATTTACTTAAACGCACTTCCAAATAGTGGACAACATCACAACATAGTCACTTGTCTTTCCATTTGAGTCAGTGCTGAGCACATGGTCTTCATGCTCTAATTCAGGGTGCATCATTGCATTATGGTTGCAATAGTATTCCTTTTGACCTTTTTTTAATTATTATCCATTATTATACTAATCATATGTACCTGTAATGTACATCAGGAATCTTCAAGTGGTGACCATAGATGGACTGAACATGTTGAGCGACAGAGTGGTGTGGGTTCGCAACCATTACCGGGAGAGACCGACCAACATTTAGGAGATGCTGAAATGGAAGGTAACACCGGAAATGGGGACAATACTCAGGCAGATCCACCTTACTTAGAACCGCGGACTGTGGCTCTTGTGCCCAGCCAGGCTTGCTTGCAAATGTCTAAGGAAGTTGAAGCTGAGGCCAATCCTGTAATTCAGTCAGCCCAACCAGCTGTAGCACCAGCACAACTTCTGCAAAGAGAGGCAGAGCAAGTAGACTGTTCTGATAGAACACCAGCTCAGACTTCAAGTGGTGACCATGGAAGGAATGAAGATGTTGAGCAACATAGTGGTGTGGGTTCAGCAGAACCATTACCGGGAGAGATTGAACAACATTTAGGGGATGCTGAAATGGAAGTTAACACCGGCAACGGGGACAATACTCAGGCAGACCCACCTTATTTAGAACCACAGACTGTGGCTCCTGTGCCCAGCGAGGCGTCCTTGCAAATTTCTAAGGAAGTTGAAGCTGAGGCCAATCTTGTAATGCAGTCAGCCCAACCAATTGTAGCACCAGCACGGCCTCTGGAAAGAAGGGCAGAACAAGTAGACCGTTCTGGTATAACATCACCTCAGACTTTGCAACCTGAAATGCAACCGCCAGCATGCAGGGAAGCTTGTACTCAGACATATCTGATAATTCAGTCTTCACAACCAAGTACGGTACCAAATGGGCTTTCACAAAGGGATGCAGAACAAGCAAGCCTTTCTCGTGTACCATCATCTCAGTGTTTGTCATCTGCAATGCATTCATCGGTTCCACCGTCCAGTATTCTGCTTGAAAGAGCACACCCTGATCAGTGTCAACCACCAAGCCATCAACCTGAGGCTGCACCGGGTTCTTCACCACAACTATTTCCGGTGGCGCCAATCATGTTTAATCATCCACCAGTTGGTGATGATCCATCGAAAAATGAGTTGCACAGATTACGGTTACACATTCACTCAACCCACCAACTAAAGGTTTGCTATTCCTTCTAGCTCATGTACGTATATCTTGGTTGTGAATTTCTTACACTAGCTAGTTCTGGGATTCATCTTCTTCTCATTTCCTTTTCACTTATATATGGACAGAAATCACAACTTAGGACCGAGTGTAGCCAAGAAATGGAGAAGCTCAAACAAAAGTATGATTTGTTACTTCGAGAACAAGAGTCCACTCATCTTCAGCAAACCAAGACACTTGGTAATCTATGTGGGAAAGTTCTCCTCAACCAATCACTAGCTGAAGATCTTCGGGCTAAATTCGTATCTTCTGGAGAACAAGGTATTATTGAGTATTGACTATAAGCAATAATTTTTTTATGTCCTCTATCTAAATGAATATGCTGACATGATTTTCAAGCATCCGTACCAAATCTCTATCGCCAATGCTAATTACTTTGATCTGCATGCAGTTAGAGCCCCTGGCCCTCCAAATCACCACACACCCCACTGGATTGCTTCTCAGCAAGTTCCCATGAGGCCTTCAGCGGTGGCATCACCAACTACGTCGTCATCAGCTGGTCGACCACCAGTGCTGATACATCACATCCAACCGTTACAGGTCGATGGACCATCACCATCATCATCGCCATCTTCACAAGTGGTCAGACCACATCCCTCCATACTAAGCAACATTGTCAGATCAACATCTACTAGTTTTAGCCTCGTGTCAGTTCTGCCACAGGGAAGCTTTGGAGTCCAGAGTGAACTAGCACATGCACATGCTCCTCGTCTTCAGCACAGGTTGCTTGCACAGGCGCATTCGATGGCATCTGCAAATCAGCAGCAGCTTCCAACTGGGTTGGAGAGCATGTTTGCAAGGACATGGTCTACCCCTGTGACTCCAATAAATATAAGACAATCATGCCCACATGCAGTTCCCCCAGGGAACCCATCACTATCAAGCTTGCATCCAAGTTCACACTCCACTATACCCTTGGGGCCATCAAGTTCACATCAAATTCATCAGGTTCCACCACTGCCATCAAGTTCACAGGCCACTGTACTCGCACCCGTGGGCCCATCAAGTTCACATCAAATTCAGCAGGTTCCACCACTGCCATCAAGTTCACAGGCCACTGTACTCGCACCTGTGGGCCCATCAAGTTCATATCAAATTCAGCAGGTTCCACCACTGCCATCAAGTTCACAGCCAACACGCCTGCCATTGCCATTGCCAGTGCCTTCGAATCCAAATCCAGTTCTTCCACTAACATTACCACGAGGTTTGACTACGACATCTAGTGTTTCCTCAGCTGCGTCCAGTGTGTTGCCAAGTAAAGGTGTTGGGCCTTGCGCACCAGACTCGCCGCAGTCAGATTCTGATGCAGAATCACTGGATCAATTTCTAACCAGTATTGGGGTGCCCAGTGATCCCCGTGGCGTGGCGGCTCCTGAAGTGATATGCCTATCTGATGATGAAGAGACCGGTACGTTCACATTTCCTTGACACTGAGTGTAACAGGTTGCTTGAAAAATTAGAGATCTCAAGGATAGCACAAGTACAAAGATGCCAATGATAATTTAAATAGCATTATCTCAGGTGCAGATTTACAAACAGAAAACACACTGGAATACTATTTTAGAACTAGTAGTTCACAGTAATTAAGAGGGAAAAAAAGGCAAGTGTTAACAGATTAGATTGTCAACTGGAGCCGCCATGTACACAGTGAGCTGATCCATTGTTCTTGCATGTTATCCAGTACGAAATTCAGTAACAGACCTACAATGCGATTCAAAACCGATAGTTAGAAATACATGTATTTCAGTTGCAACTAAACTGTAGATAACAATGAATGAATATTAACTACAGGCACTTAGGATAACACACGCTTATGGTGTTGAATCCAATATAAGGTGTCCTGTGTATCTTCTTTTAAAGCTGACATGTGTATTTATTCTCAAGAGAATACATCTGTACGTAGGGAACTAGCTAAATGAACTAGCTCTTGAGTCTCAATCTAAGTGAACTCGCTCATCAGTAGTCTTTGCTTTGCTTCATTAGTTGTGTTGTAGCATAGTTCCATTCATGGTTTCTGTTACTTATTTTTCTGTCATTTACAATTTTCGTTTAGCACTTAACACTTGCACTTTTTTGAAGAATATTCTAAATGAAGTAGATCACGAGTCTCAAATCTGGACAGAGTTGTTTGTTCCGTTTGTACAGCTAAATCTGCTATACTTTGATCAGGAATTAGTTGTACTTGCTATTAGGGATGTAAATGGCTTGATAAACGGCGCCGCAAGGCTCGTTTAGTTAGCTCGGTAGTTCATTTTCCCAGAAAAATTAAGCTTTCTTGAACTGTTAGACCGATGAGTAAACGGGCGCCGTTTACATCATGACTTGATGTCAGATTAGTCGTAAAAGTGTTATCGAAGTGAGATATGAAGGAGATACCAAGACAAGAAAATGCATCTTGCAAATTGTAACCTTTTTCCGTTTTTCGAGTTTGAGAGTACATGATGAATGTCTAATTTATAGAATGATTTTTTGCTATATAGATGACCAAACCAAGCAAGAAACGCCGCTCGTCGCTGAAGTGCCCCAACAGAAGGTTCCTTGCAAGTTTTTGGTCAAAGGTGATGCTTGTAAACAAGAAATATTGATGCCCAGATCGATTTTATAATCACAAATTTGTGATGCAACTCCTTGTTTCTACTAGAGAACTTTGAGTAACATGTACTAACTGGGATTGCTGCTACTTAATGCTTAACGCAACGCCTAATTGTATGTGACATGTCACTTAACGCTTACGTGGATAGTACAGGTAGGCACGTCCAGCAAGCACCCAGCCTACTTGGTCGCTACACCTGCTTGTTTTTCTTTTTACTTTTTTCGATCGACCTTTTTGATCAACCTTTTTTTTTTATGGATTGCTGCTACTTCTACTTTGGGTGATTGCTGCACTGAGTCGATCCATCAACATTTTCTTTTCCTTTTCCACGATCGACTTGATGTACATAACCATAACGGACGTCACAACTCGGTCCCCAGAGAGGAATGGGCCGTTTTTCGTTCTTCTCGTCCCTTTCTCGTCTCATCAAACAAAAATGTCATGTTATAAGTGGAAACGAACTAAAGATGAAATCTATAAACTGGAAATATTTGCATCTGAGTGGAGTCCGAGGTTATTCATTTCTTGTATGGAACAATGAATCAGTTATTTGGTTTTGACATTTTATTGGATGCTATTACTAATTATTGATGATATGGTTAGGAAAGGGGAGATTGATGTATAAATGGATGTAGAGTATATGGCGATATGCTCATAAGAATATTGAGCCCCGCTTAGGCGCACAACCCCTCAGCCTGGCCCATTTTTTTTGACCTACAAAAAATAGGGGTGTGAAGTAGGATTCAAACTCCTGACCTCTTGGTTTACTTTCACCCACTGTAACCAACTGTGACAACTCCCTTGCTGTGCCTAGTTACTTCTTTTTCTCTTCTTGACATGCATCTTCTCAGTCTGGTTTCTACTTTTTTTGTTTGGCCTTTTTTTTCTTCGGTTTTACTCACGTTTATTTTTCTTTATTCTTCTCTTTTCTTTAATTCATGAACTTTTTTTACATTCATGAACTTCTTTTCAAATGAATATTTTTTTTTCAGTTTCGCAATTTTTTTATAAATCGATGAAAATTTTCAATTTCGCGATTTTTTGAAATTTGTGAAATTATTTGTTAAACTCATGAACTTTTTTCATATATTTGTGTATTTTTTGTCAGATTCGTGAAGATTTTTTCAAATCAATGAACTTTTTTCAATTTCACAAACTTTCTTCAAATTTGTCAATCAATAAACTTTTTTCAAATTTGGAAACTTTTTTTATCAAATTCATGAACATTTTTTAAAATCGATGAACCTTCTCAATTTTTTGAACTTTTCTGTCCAGTTTGTGAACTTTTTTTAAAATCGATGAACTTTTTCATTTTCATGAACTAATTTGCAAATTCGTGTACTTTTTAAAACTTGTGAACTTTCCTTTAATCCATGAATCTACTTAAAAATTTAAAACCAACAACTGGTTTTTCCAGGTAATAAAACAGCAGGAGAAGAGAAACCGAGAAAATATAGTGAGCAAACGAAAACTGACCATCACAATCGGTCAACGCAAAGTGAAGTAGCGAGGTACTTAGGCAGCGGCCCACTAAGACGGGCATGAGCGCCAATTTATCTTTCGGGCGCATAAGGCTCCAAGGAGAAAAAAAGTTTGCGAATCGAAGACAATTCGCAAAATTAAAAAAGTTCATCAATTTAAAAAAAGTCGATGAATTTGAAAAATTAGTTCACGAAACTAAAATAAGTGCATCCATTTAAAAAAAGTTCACGAATTGACAAATCTTTTACATTAAATACTTATTTCACATGAGGCTGCCCGACTGGGCCTACACTTTGTCACACCCGAAAACAGGGAAAACTTAGAATAACAGTTTAAATTATGATTTTAAATACTTTTTTCCTTCAAACATGGCATAGATGCCTACCATGTGCATGCCCACCTACTGGCAAAAATTGAGGTCATTTCATGAATGTCTAAAAAACACCATGTTCAAAGTATGGTGTGCGGGTAGGCCTGAAGGTTCTGTTTGAGAGAACATTGTTTCTTGACACCCATTAAATGACCCCTTTTTTTCATTGGCTTGTATGACCAATTCAAGGCATCATGCCATTTTTTTTTGTTTTTACAAATTTTGGTAAATGGTCGGACGTGTCGCAACTTGCATACGATTTCGAAGCCTCATATGTCCATGTCAGCGGGAAGTTGGGTTTATTTATCCATAGTCCAAAAAACCACTAGTTGAGAGGAGTGTGCCACACTATGCCAGACGGAGGCATCAGTGAGCATAAAGTTCTTCCTAATTTGAATGCTTTTATTATTTGCAATTTCTATCATTAACAATCAACAGGAACATTTTCTTATGTCGACCATTTCTTGAAATTTGTCAACAATTTGGCGCTGAGTGTTGGTCTACTGAAAGAAGACAGGTTCAACAGTTAGTTTTGGCGGAAATATGCATTTTCAGATGGATGTGTGGCCACATAAAGAAGGATCGGGTCTAGAATGATGATATACGAGATAGAGTTGGGGCAGGGCCAATTGAAGAGAAGCTTATCCAACATAGTCTGAGATGTTTTGGGCATATTCAGCGCAGGCCTCCAGACACTCCAGTACATAGCGAACGGCTAAAGCGTGTTGATAATGTCTAAGAGAGGTCAAGGTAGACCAAACTTGACATGGAAGGAGTCTGCAAGGACATAACTGAAAGACTGAAGTGTCACCGAAGAACTAGCCATAGACATGTGTGCGTGGAAACTTGTTATCCATGTGGCCAAACCATGAGTTAGTTGAAGGATCTTATGGGTTTCAGCTCTAACTTACCTCAATTTGTTTGTGATAAAGGCTTTGTAATTGTCAACAAATTTTGAATTTTGAATTGTGTATGAAAATTTTACAAACTTGAACACTTTTTCCGAAATTGTTAACAAATTCTGAACAATTGATGAAAAATTTGAACAAAAATTTGCAAACCCGTATTGTTTTACATTTATCAAGTTTTTTAAATGCAAACATTTCTTAAATTCGTATTTTTTTTCAAAAATGGGAACATTTTTTGAAATTCCAGAATATGTTTTAAAATTCTAAACAATATTTGAACAGGTTAAAAAAGAATAATAAAGTTTAAAAATGAGACAAATTAATTAACAAAAAAGAGAAGAAAGATGAAAAAAGAGAAATAAACTCTTGGGCCTTGGTTCAACTAGGTGACTAGGAGTGGGCATAAAACTCTGACCAACGGAATGCCGAACCCAAGCCAAAACTGAAAAAGGCGAATTTTTGGTTTTTATTGTTTTTTAAAAGGGTTTTATTGTTAGTACAATTAAAATCAGTGTTTGTTTTAATAACCAAATTCGAACCAGGTTCCGTATTAAACAGTATAACCAAAAGAAAAACCAAAGCTTAGGCATCCAATACGAGGCTCCCTCACGCGCTATCGCCCAACACCGACGGCTTAGTAGTACTTTTGTGTGGGGGATGTATCTGGTGCACCGGGGCAATTTGTGCTATCAGTGCACCGGTCGTCCGTTGCACATACAAAAATGTTCGAAAAAATCCAGAAAAAATTAGTGCATTGACACAACATCAATGTACATTGTCACAACAATTTAAATCAATATTCCACATTGCTCGAGATATAAAAGTAACAAATTTGACATTGAATAGTGCATCACACAAGTTGGGCTTCAGTTTTGGCCCATTAGCATATTGACGTCAAATTTGTCATTTTTGTATCTTGAGCATTGTTTTGAATTTTTATGACAACTTACATTGATGTTGTGTCGATGGACTAATTTTTTTGATTTTTTAAAACATTTTTTAATGTGCAACGGGAGTGCGGTGAACCAGATACATCCCCCTTTTGTGTGGCTGGCAAAGCGTGCAGCAGCAACCGTCTTATTTGTTAGTGTCACATCGCTTAGGTATGCTCAAAAGGTAAAGGTGCTCGTGGATATAAGAAGATGACACACAGGGGAAGCGCTCGCAGCTATACCTAGCCATGGGCCGGGCCTAAAACAACCCACTGCAGAAATCTGAGGCCCAGGCCCTCCCAGGCCCTACCATCGGGCCTACTTTTAAAGCCCAAGCCTGGCCCATCTGATAAAAAGCCCTGAAAAGCCCTTAGGGCTTAGGGCCATGAGCCGGGCCTCTTCCTTAAAATGCCAATATGCCAAGCCCAAGCCCGTCCAGGCCTTGTTGGTGGGCTCAAAACTCAGGCCCAAGCCCGACCCATGGGCAAGCCCATCGGGCCTAGGCCCTGGATTTTAGGGCCGGGCCTGGGTGGGCTGATAGGGCCGGGCCGGAGATGGCCAGGACTACTCGCAGCTGCGTTGTAGCTTGTACGTATACGCCACAAAAAGGGTTTCGTTATAAGTTGAAACCCGAACTGAATGAGTCGATTAACCAAAATATCAGCTTATTGTATTGGGTTGACATTTTTCGGTTTCTAGGTTTGCTTACCGAAATTTAAAATAAACAAATGGCAAAACCGTTTTTCGGTTTCTACCACCCTGATCGGCGATGGCGATGTTCCGGTCAGGCGCTTGTTGGGCCGGCCCAACCGTTCGTGGATTGAAAATCATCCATGTTGAAAAATTGTTCATGGATTTGAAAACTTTCATAGATTTTCAAAAAAAGTTCACCAAAAAAGGTTACCAAAAAATTTCTAGATATTGAAAAAGATTCACAATTTGAGAAAACATTCACGAATTATATTTTTTTAAAAGTTCACGCATTTGAAAAAATAGGTAAAAGCAAAAAATATATTAAAAAACAGAATAAAATAGAACAAAACCCGGTTTTGAAAAACACGAAAAATACATTTTTGCCACATAAGAAGCCGAAAAGAAAGCAAGTGTTCAAAAAACTGTTCAATAAGTTAGCTCTTAAGTTTGCACAGTCCTCATATCTCTTTAAAATTCTTAAAAATGTTGTTTAGAAAAATGTTCTTTACATTTGAACTAACCTATCTCTTTATTTTTTTTGCAATGTTCATGCTTTTAAGAACAAAAATGGAAATTTGAAGATGTGCTCAAGTTGTTCATTTTTTTTGGATTTTCAAATATTATTTG